CCCCCCCCCCAAGAGAGCTCTCAACCCCGCACATCTGCTCATTTTCATGCAATTGGCTTGCAGATCTCTTCAACCATGTACAACCAGTGGCACCTGTTCGTCTAGCATGCCCGGTCGTTGACAAATCGCTGTGGGTGTCATCCTTGCGTGCTCCGCTTGTGGGCTTATATCTGAAATGGCAGCTCGCACGTGCGCAGGTGGATTCATTCATTACCCCCAACCGGGTATCGGTGGAAAAACATGAGGGGGCGTAACAGACCAAGGGGTGACATCAAGCTGCTGCCGAGATCCGAATGGACATTGTTCAATAGTCCAGATGGTGACGTTAAAGTGGGTAGAGTGTCTGTCTCTTTGCATCCGTACCACCCATGGGTTCTGTGCACACTTGAACGAAGAAGAACAAGGCCGGTCGAAGAGGAAAACGAAAATCCAACGCCAAGCCCACGACGATGGTCGATTGAAGTGTGGAACTACGTGAGTGCGACGCTTGTTGCCTTTGCAGTTATCCCTCGCGTATTTAGGATTGCCGATGCCAGGTTCATTGCACAGAAAGGCTGGATTGCAGTGCAGTGTTCCAATCCGCGCAAAGACATTGTTTATGAGATCCAAGGTTCGAGCCTGCAATGTCTCACTGTAGTAGAGCATCCTTGTCGCTTCGATGTGTGGGAGATTGCTGTCCATCCCCGCTTGTCTTATCTCTTGACTTCTCGCAACAAAGTCGTCATCTTGTGGGACGGGGAAAACGAATGGGAGCAGATTCCGTTTAAGGGTCACAGCCAGGAGATACGGTCGTTGATGTTCCATCCACGGGACCACAACGTCTTTGCAAGTGGGTCATGGGACGGGACCATCAAAATTTGGGGTATCAGTGAACGTGCTTGTCTGCGAACCATTAGAGTTTATCGAGGTCTTGCGATTTGGGTAATGGACTTTTGCAGCAGAGCTGGGAAATCGCTTCTCCTGTCGTGCGACGAACCGGAATCTCGTGAACGAGGCAGTGTCTTCGTCTGGGACTACAACACCGGTCGTTGCTTAGTCAAGATGCTAACCGATGGTTTTCAAGCCTTCTTCCATCCAACCTTGCCGTACATCTTTAGTGCGACACGTGATGGCGAAATTCAAATCTGGAGCGAGTCGAACTGTAAGTACTTGTCATCCTTCTGGTGCGACATGGGCGACCCCGACGCCTGGTTTGGCAGAGGTCTCGAATGGATCGGTGCTTGCAAGCACTCCAACCATATCATTGCCTTAGGAGGTAAAGGAACGATCTATGTGTTGGAGGTGGTAAGCGGAAAAAACGATCGTGAGGAGGATGTGCAGAGAACCTCTCTTTGCGCAGAGTCTGCAAAAAGGCCATGCCTTGTCAGAGCAACAACGCCGGGATCAGACGAAGCATGGCTCAAATCAGCTTGGTGGTTTAAACCACGAGTACGCGAGCAAGGTGTGCTGGCCGGTTAATGGACCTGCCTTCCGTGAACCTACGGGCCTCTGCCCACAGCTGACTAAGTCCAAATGATGTCAGAGGCCTGCAGATGGGGTGAGGGAAGGGTCTGGAAGATGGAAAGTATTCGTGGTCTATGAGAGAGAGAGAGAGAGAGAGAGAGAGAGAGAGAGAGAGAGAGAGAGAGAGAGAGAGAGAGAGAGAGAGAGAGAGAGAGAGAGAGAGAG